ATGGCAGCGCCGACGGGATGGCAGCGCCGACGGGATGGCAGCGCGCGGCCCACACAGCGCTCCAGCCACGCTGCCCAGATGCTCAGACGTTTCTTCCAAGGTGAGGGCGTCAGTTCAGGAGAAGGGAAGCTGCCGTCTCCCTGAGGAAAGAGGCTGGCCAATGTGCTCTTCACTGAAGTATTTTGCAGTGACAGAAAGCCCACAGCATCAGGGACTACAATATTTAAATACTAGTCTTGGGGCCGAAAGTGGCTTGAATTACCCTCCATTTATTCATTGAACAAACCTGCCCTTAAACCTTGCCATCTAACATGTGCTCAACTGCCTGTGAACCAAACTGGGGAACCCTCTAACCTTCAAGTGCCTTCGGCCCTCGTAGAGGCAGCCACGGGCACCGAATGCAACGTGACCCACAGGGAAAACCCACTGCTGCCACCCGAGGACCTCGGATTGATCAGCACGAAGCCTAATGCTCAGATATGGACTTTGGAGGCAAGACTGCCTGCTCACATGGGCTGTGACTCTGTACTGCTGAGGTGAAACACTCAGCATCATCCTGGCTGTCAGAGCTCGGCGCTGGCTGGGAAGTGCTGCAGGGAATGGGGTAGCAGAGCCGACGCGTCGGGTTTGCAAGGGCTCCGTCTTCCTGGGATCGGGCAGCTGAGCCCCTTCCCCCTCCTTCCTTCAGGATAACGTGCACAGGAGAAATGCAAATAGCTGACCTCTTACTGCTGTATGTTTCCACCCTTCAAAGCAAAGCCTTAACGCACCTCCCACACCTTTACACTGAAACACTTGCAGTTGGTGAAATTAATTTCAACTAATTTCAGTAATTCTTATAGGAGGTTGTTGTTTTGTATGGCTATACTACCATTTACATGTGCAAATTGCATATGCAAAGCTAACTAGAGATGAACTTAAATATCTCAATTTGTCTAAGAAACAGAAGCGGACAGGCAATTTGTGGTGTCACTCCACCTAAACCAGAGAGGCCATATAAAATATTTAGAAAAAATAGCAAGTTATGCTTTCCAGTCAGACTCCAAAAAAATGCCATGAAAACCAGACTGAGCATATCCATCATATATAACAGAATGAGGATTATATGAAGAAAGATGCAAAAGGAGAGAGAGAGAAAAAAGGAAATATATTTTTCTCTTTCACTATTTTTTTCCTATGTGGCACATCAACTCTGTTTCATGATTTCCCTGCAAAAAAGCTGAAAAACCACAAAACCCTGTATTATGCTTCTCAAAAATGCAGTATGTCGTTATGATAATTTCATTATCATTTATTATATACAGTGCTCTTCAATTAAAGATCCCTTCCAGAAGACGAAATATTGCAAGCAAATCTTCCACATGCTTATTGAAAATGTGGAGCGCTGCCTGCTGGAAACACAATAACATTGCTAAAGTAAGCTGGTGTTTATTTTGCCTGGGGATATTCTGTAATTGGCATTTCTAACCTGACTTTTAATCCATTGTTTTAAATTACTCCAAGAGTCTAATATTCCTCATTTGTATTCAGCTGGGAAAGCACAGGGATTTGTTTAAATCCATCAGAAAAATTCTCCAGGGATAGTGCATTGCTAGCATGTAACCAGATATTTATAATTTGCAAGACATTAGCTTGAATAAGTGATTCGGGTGGTTTTGAGAAAACGACAATGATGGAAGAAGGAGCAAGACGAAAGATAAGCAGTAGCTTAAGAAAATTTTTCACCGTGGGTGAATACATTTTCTCCTTGGAGTGTTTCCAGATAAATGTTTGGAAGGGAGAAACACAATGTATTGAGTGAGATTTTCATGGGACTTGGTAGCTATTTCTGAACTCACTTAGAGAAGCGTTTGCATAACCTTATTCTTTGGCTCTGGAGCTATGTTTTTTCTTTTGTTGGAGACAAGAAATTGTAATTTCTCTAAATAGAGATGCACTGGAATCAGAGCCCTGTATTTCTACAGAGGTACCATGTTAATTGGGTGCATTTACAGAGTAGTTCAGGACTTGCATCTGCCCACAGAGTAAATACATGTAATATTGGATATTGAGTGCTCTAAATGTTATTCTTCTAGTCTGAATAAACAAAGCAGAAGAAAGTTTTGTTCAATTTTGTGTCTTACAAGATTTTCTAGCTTTAATTGGCTCATCATTTTTCATACACTTACTTACCTAGTAAATAGTAATTAACCCCCCTTCCAGCTGTTCTGCAGCACCACTTCTAGTACCAATGGGAAGACAAATGATTACGAGATTCAAGGGAAGGTATGAGCCCAGTGACTGCTGCAGAACACATTTGTTTCACCCTTGTCCCTCAGCAATTTTAACTCCCTAAATGCTGCAGACGTTGCTGCTCGTTCTGCCTGCCCCAGACTGCGCGCAGTCCCACTGCAAATTCCTCTGTTTGGGGCAGGATCTCTCATTCAGTATCTTACAGTGTCACATACAGAGTCACTGAACCCCAGGAAGGGGGTTCTCTAATGCTGTATTGGCAGCTCTTAACCTGCAGTAAAAACCCAAAGTACATGGCTGAAAATAAGAGCCATAAAGTGATTAATTTCTAATTTAAAGCACCACAATCACTCTCTCAGCTATCTTTAAAAGTTAAACATTTTCAAAAACTCCCAAACTGTTATAGCTGACAGTAATTATAGGATATGGTATTCACCTTACCAAAGGGTACAAATATAGTCACTGTGCTACATCCATCAAGGACATGGCTTTAGGCTACTCCCTTCAAAGTGACTATACATTACTTGATTTCCTCCTAAACTATTTCAAGTAAAAAACTTTTTCAAAAAAATATCAAATGCAGCAGTTAATATTCTCTTTAATGAGTTGAAGCCTTTTAAAAAAATATTACATGCACAGTAAACTGCAGATACTCTGGGAAAATAATCCATATTTTGAGGATTAAAGCAAGAACATTCTTTTAAGCACACATTTTCTTTAGTAGACTATAGATTGTTGTCTTGACTGCCCTTCATATATGGTAATTAAGATAGATGTTGGAGATGGTACAAGAAAGAGCAGTAAACACCAAAGAAAGTAGCCGAGATAAATCTTCAGCATAAATAAACCTCAGTTGGGAGGGAGCCAAACAGAGTAATCAGCAAGCGACCTGCATTAAATTAGGTCATACCCTCTCTCTTCTGTCATGAAAACAACTACTGTGAAAGACCTTTAATGTATTTAAAATCCCAGTGGATTTATTGACAGTACCTTTGTCTGGACCATGCCTGGTCTCTGGTCCCTCAAGTGCTCCAGGGTAGCAGCAATATCAATCTCTTTAGCACCTGCAACAAACCACAAATTGGGCTGAGTTCAGAGCACAAGATAATCCATGCTGCATCTGTCAATCTCTTGCTATCGGGTTCCCTTTGGGCTACCAGTCCAATTGAAAATTATTACATCCATCTCTCAGCAGACTTGGCAGGCAGCTGCAATTTTTGTGTTCATATAGGAAAAAAAAAAAGAGGTTGGGGCAGCTTTTATTAACATTAATTCAAGGAAAGCCAGAGAAAAGCAGATTCTTAAAAATGCCCCTGCACCTAGAGCAGAATGTATTTGCTGCAGTGTAGAGGCCCCGCTTGGCTGTGCCACCACGCGCCCTTTTGTCACCACTACGAGTATGCACTGATTTAAGGGCCAGACACCCACAGAAATTCATGTTGTTAAAAGAGGACCTGGGTGAATTTCTGTCCCCTGCAGCTGCAATCCTGTAAACCTGCCTATGGCTTCCTAGTTCAGGACTTGCAAGAGCATCTTGCCACATGATCCCTGTTTGAGTTGGCAAATCTGTGGCCATTTACTTCAGATTACATGTTGGGTGCACAGACACAGCTTATCCTCCTCACTTCCCTTAAGTACCTATCCCCACTTTACATTATTTGAGGGGATTGACAGGAAATTAGGATTCTGCTCCCTCCAGTGAATCCTTGCACGATTCCCAGGGGAGGAAGCTCAGCTGGAAGCCCTCAGAGCTGACGGCTTCCTCTGAAGCTGAGGCAGATCCTCAGCTCAGGTCTCCCCCTCCTGCATGGCCGCTGTGTTTATTCAGACAGTTCATCACCGACGGGCACCGGCTACAACCTGCCTCGTGCTCCATCGTTTGGATGGCTGCTCGTTGCTGTGCTCTGAAGAGGACTGTGCACGTTCAGCTTGGTAAGTGCTGCACGGGCACACACAGCCCAGCGTGGGTTACTCGGGACCACATCCTAGCAGCACTTAAACCACCTTGGCTGCTCGCGGCAAGCGCGGGGAAAAGTGTGGCTTGTGCTTCCAAGAGCGCGACGAGAAGCAGAGGCAGCGCAAGGCAGCTCTGCCAACGTGCAATCTCACACACACACACACACACACACACACACGCAGGCAGGTAGGAATTCCACCAATTTTCTCTTCCAGAAATGAAGATCTGGAAAAGATTCAAGACAGTGACATCGAGGGCTTGGGTTAGAGGCAGAGGACGGCAGCGATCGCCTCAGGCTCAGCCTCACGTGCCCCGTGGGCCTCCCCACGGCCCAAAATGTGCCCATCCATCCCGCCTAGCAAGGGCCGCTCGTTAGTTGGGGCCGCTCCAGCCTCGGGAGAATACAGTAACATCTTCGATGCAGCGAAAAGGTTCCTGAAAAGACCCCAAAACCACCTTTAATGGGCAGACAAGTCCCTGTGTCTGCCTCTGCAAGAGTTAATCCCTTAACTTCTGTGATGCAGGTTACAGGCATTTACTAGTGAACTGACACTTGCTTTTTTATCATGGTTAGTGGAATGACAGGCCTACTAGTATGAGCAATGTCTGGATATAAAGTCCTGATTTAGCAAAACACCAAAGTGGGTGCTTGCGCTGGCACACAGGAGCAGCCCCAGTGGGCCAGTGTGCTTAACCACAAGCTTCTTCTGGAGAGTTTCCCCAGCTGAAGTCACCGAAACATCAGATTTTACTGGTCAGTGTCCCCAACACATGGGCTGTGGTCAGCATGTCAACCTACGAGCCTTTCTTATGTCTTCAGCCACAGGTAATGAAAAAGGAAACAAAAGCAAAATTTCCACTTTGCCCAAAGCGTGTATCTTGCTGCAAGGTCAGCGAGCACCGTCCCAGGCTGCCTGCAGTGCCTGCAGCACCACCAAGCACAGATTTGTTGGCAGAAGGCGGCATTTAATGAAGCCAAACCAGTGTATCCTTTCTGAGCATGAGTTTTACTTACTCCCTCTCCAGCTGTGTAGCTGTTACACAGAAAGTCAAGGGGAAGAGAGGGAAGAGACTGCTTTGCTACCCATTTTTAACATTTCTGAATGCCTCTGACACTACGGTGACAGCAACTACCTATGTGCCTAGAGAGGCTGATCAGCAAAACCTAGTGCTGCAAAGACGGGCAGCTGCTTTGAAGGAAAGATCTCTTGGGACAAGAGAATTCAGAGGAAACAGGATGAAACCCACGGCACAGCAGAAAGGCAGCACGACTTGTTTTCTCTCTGCATGAGGAAACTCTTCCTCTCCTGCATCCACTGCATCTATTCCCTCACTGTGCCTAAAACAAACTTGTTTAAATACACACATATTGTTAATCCACTATTAAAACCCCTTTTGCAAGAAGGGGTTTTTTCTATTCACATTCATGTCAATTTGCTGTTGAATCATGTAAAGTTCACTGCAGCATGAACTTTTTTGTCTCTCTCATTTAACTGTTTTGTTGGAATATGACAAAAATTCAGCAGTTTCTTCAGCATACTGAGGCGTTTCCTTTAAGTAATATATAAAGGGGATTTAGCAATAGCATGCATATGGGAATATAACAGAATGGCATAACAAAGTATTTTTATTCTACAGTGTCCAAAAGCACTTTATTTGTGCCTTTGAGCTATTTCAGGTGAAAAAGAGCCCAGCGTTTGTTGTGGGACACCTGGAGAGGGGGAAATCGCATCTAAGGACACCGGGGTCAAGTCATGCTCTTACCTATATGGCCACCAAGTGCTACACACTGCAAAGATGTTTTAAAGATTGCTTAGCTGGAAAGCTCAAATACAAACTGAATTTCAGAAAACAGTTTGGAGGAAGAGCTGAAGGAACTTGACGCACCAATTCCAAGGCTATCTTGTATTGGAAATGGCAACTAAACTGTCAGGCTCCAAAATAATCATAGAGATGTCAATTTACTGTCATGCAACAAATAACCTAGAGAAAGTGTTGAAAATACTAGGCTTGGGAGCACTGAAGAAAACTAGAAAAGAAAACACAAAGTGTTAGAAAAGGAATTTTTTCTGTCTTTTCTTCCCCAGTTTAACTATGCTTCTGGTTTCAGAAACAAAAGGAAAGAAAGAAGCATCTAAAGAACAAAGAAGATTTCAGCTCTCACTCTGTTTTATCCTACAGGGAATAAACTTGCTTCCTGTTCACCACAGGTTCATACCAAATTTCACTGCCGATCTTAAAAGAAGGTGAGAAGGCAGAAGGCAGCACAGGGCGATGCTGAGCTGCTCCGGTGCCGGCCGCGGGGCCAAGCGGCCGTGCCAGGCGGCCGTGCTCCGGCAGGACACGCGTTTGCAGCCAATCCTGGGCCGTACCCTGAGCTGCTCAGAGAGCCGGGCGAGTAGGTATGACCCCAAAATACTCCCACGTCAGGGTTTTGACTTCAGCAATTAACCACCACGTTCCTAAGGGCTCAAAGCGTCTACAGAGAATGCCCCCAATCCATCTCAGAAACTGAATAAACGGAGAGAAAAGAAGAGAAGATGCAAGCGGAATTATGTTTTGCCTCCCATGAATGAAGACACTGCTCAAGTTCAGGGTCGTGTCTTTCCAGGCCTCCCTCTCCCCACAGGCATCAGCGCAGGAACCCAGAGCTCCTGATTAGCAGCTCTCAAGGGGTTAAAGATTTGGACACAGCGAGTCGCATAAGCACAGCACCCCCCATGTTATAAAAACATGGGTAAAAAATTAATTCCCTTTTGCTCTCGCAGTAAGTAACGAGCTATCCCAACCCTGCTGCAGCAGCAGCTTGCGGTATTTAAGGTCGCGGGGTGATGTGTTCTCAGCCAGCAATGACGACGGTCTGAGAGCCCGTGCAACCAAAACCTGCTGTTTTTCCACTTGTAATAACAATCAGCAGTTGCTACATAAATGTTTGAAAACTTGGCCTTAATTAAAGCAAGTTATGGTATTTCATTTTTATGCAATAGGCTTGAACTGACTTACACTCAAAGCAAAGTCAAAATCCTGTTTTATTCATTGCTGATGAAAAGTGCATGGTAGATTCCGTGAGACTGACAGAATTTTATATTAAAGTGCTATATTAAAAGGAATATTTTAGGTTCTAGATGCTCTGAATTTTCTGTGTATTTATAAAAATAAAATGATCCTTAAATACTTCATCAAAGTAGTTATTTGTGGGGAGTTTCTTTTTAAATAACCCCAACTGAAGGGTTTTGTGAATGTTTCACATAAATAGCATATTAAAATGGATATTTCTTGCTCAAAACAACTTCCAGATCTATCAGTATATATCCTTGAAAAGATAGATTATAATTCTGCAGAAAGACTATAAATTCCTTACTCTGAGCACTAAAGGACGGCTTAGTTATTAGGGTACTACGTTTAGATACATTTGAATTATCTCCCAGACTGAAACACTTCCTTAAGTCATTAAATTCACCCTATGCTTCACACCATTGTTTATACAATGCACATTTTTTTTCTTTCCAAATAGGCTGTTATGAAGCTGAATGCATTAATGGTCACAGGCTACTTGGACAGCAGAGAGGTAAGGACCGAGATGGATCCTCTCTATTTTTTTCAAGAGCCTCTACACCTTTCTCAGCCCTCCTTCTGTTCCCATTGATGATAAAAGTGATCACAAAGCTGAATATATGAGGTAGGAGTCATGTAGAGAGGTTGTAAATGGAGGATTATTAGGACTTTTACCATTCCTCCTTGAGGAGATGATGATGATCTGTGTGGGAATAAGCATCCACCCCAACAGCAAGAAAGAGAGGAATACGAATGGAATACAGAAATGACCTGTCAAGTGCCTTTCTTTTTCTACCAGTAGGCATTCAGCTTCATTTTAGTCAGATATTCCCTGTTCAACGCATCTTTTTGTGTTTATTACATTTTAGAGATTGTGAATTAGGCCTTGAAGGGCAGAGAGACTTGTTAGGTCAGATTAAAACCCAGCTTGTTAAAACCTCTATGGAAGAGTCCCTAACACAGCTCTTTCCAATGATGTTGCTGGGAGCTGAAAAGGATCCAATTAGTATTTGCAGGACGCTGCCGATGGGCAGCCTTTCAGCCTCGGAGCTT